TTAAAACTGTTGTGAATTTGGACCTAATGGAAGTAGATTCTGAAATCAGAACCATCCAATGAGCAATTTCCTGGAGAAAGGATGTACTACAGAGGTGTTGCACCACAACACTGTATGTCTCACGTCCACTGCTTTTGAGGAAATTTGTCAGTTTTAATATTACCTCATGGAGCAACTGGTAGCTCTAAATCACCCCCAAGAAAACCAATTGTTTTAATTTAACACTTGCCAATAAAGTGTTTTAAAAATATCTTTTTTTCCTGAAACAGATTTTTTTTTTTTTAAATTATGTGGTACCTGTGTTTTAATCTACTTTGAAACTGATACTACTGGAATGAGCAATCATTACTGAAAACGTGTATATCTCTTAAATAATGCACAGAAGGCAATTCCTAGAGCAACAGCAGATGAGCAGCAGGGTAGATGATTACATTTTCTACTGAAAAGAAAGGATAACAAAATGTGATGCATTGCCACTAATCTTTAGAAAAGGAGACTAATTAAATTATAGGTGCTAAAGTTAAAAGAAACAAAGCTACTAGAAGAAACAAAATGCTATTAGAGTAAATGAAAAATTTAGGGAACATGAATATCACTGAACAAAAGTAAAGTAGGAAAGCAAGGAAAAAATCAATACAGCTAAAATGAAATTTTTCAAAATGCTGTTTGACCAAAAACGTATCTTCACAATTTATAAATTTGACCTAACACAGACAAGGGCAACTAATCACTTGCAGTTAATGCGTACAAGATTACATGAGCTTTACTGGAATGTGAAGAGCAAATACTTACACAATCTCAGTTGGTTTTATTTTCTACATCAGAAACATGAAGCCTCCAAAAAATTGATTTGTCTCATGCTACAAGAAATAGAATTCCTAATGAGACAAGTGATCATTTTGCATCAGTGTCCATCTAAGAGGCTGTTGCGATGCTTCTGCCTGGGGATTGCATGTTCCTGGAATTCAAGATGAGCTACTTTGAGAGGAAAAAAAACAGAAGCAAAAAGGAGATTAAATTATTGTAGATTATAAGGTCTAAATAGTAAAGAGAGAAATTCTGAAGAGCTGGAGTGTTTGTAGTGTCTTGCTCTACGACTAACAAACATCTGGAAGACTATGCAATAGACCCTAACTGGTGCTGAGGCTGCAAAGGGAAATGTTTCACTTCTCTTATGCATTTTTTTTTTTCTGTGGCTAAAGCAAGTGGGCAGCCAGAAATGGAGGTGTGATGTGAAAATTGACAGGGGACACTTTTTTTTGCTATTTGACAGTTGTGGGATCCAGTGTGAGTGTGGTGAGCAGCCATTCCTATACAGCATTCTCAGTTGCTGTTCAGCTTCCCAGAGTCTGCTGCAAATGTCATCATTTGTCCCTCCCCACATCTGAGGCAGCAGAGTTTGCACAAGCTGCACTGCAGCCATTTGAAGCCAGACAGGCCCTTGGTGATTTCTAGCAGAGTTTCCTTCATCCTGCTTGGCTTCTGTCCAAGGAGATGTTTTCTTCTCAAGAGGTCCTTGTAGAGACATCCCAGGTGGCTTTCAGAAGTGGAAGATATTAGTTCCTGACAGCTGTGCCAAGGCTCCTCATGCAGCATAACTCAACAGGGGGGACTGTCTGGGGATAAATAATCCCTCTCTGCCACCTCACAACCTTGATGTTGTCCTTGTTTAATTCAGTTTCACTTCAGTTCCTGTCATTATGGAAACACTGCACAGAAATGTTACTGGATAATAGCTGGTGAAAAATAGTCTGTCCTGTCCTAGGTTTATGCAGCTGTCACTGGCTTTCTGTCCTATCCAAGGCATCTGTCCGACCCAGAACTGAAATCCTGGCCATGTCACGGCTTCCAGCTTTGCCAGCATCAGACACCACCCAAACCACACATGGTGGCTGTTCCTGCAGCTCAGCATGGACACATGCAAAAAGGGGGGAATGTCATCATGCACATGGCTCCGCTGATGCCCCTGGGGGTGAAACTGGAATTGGCATCAGCAAGGAAGACTGGGGTAGGGAGCATCATGTTGGATCACCTCATCTTCCCTAGCATGGTGAACCGTTTGCTGGCTAAGCCTGTTTTTATTCATGACTGCACTGTTTAGTCTTCATGTTAGGAATTGTGCTTCTTGTGAAGGGTCATGGGATTTTGTCAGGAAAGCTGGTGGGAGCACGGCCAAGTGGAGGGCCTGTGCACAGTAACAGCCACCCACACACAGCACAGACTTGGTAAAAGCACTTTGTAACCTTACTTCTCAGGTCCAGCTCCCTTCCCTTTAGATTGCAGCCTGGGGAGTACAATGTTTATTCACCGAATACACTAGAAAGAAACTAACACAGCGATTAAATGATTAAATGCACAAATATCCACAAGTATCAAACTAAGGTAAACCAGTTACTCCTAAAAGGACTATTAACAAGTACTCATTATTTGGACACCAAGCATTTAAATCTCTTCCCATTGTCTTGAGGCTGTTAGAAGTCCCATGAGATCTTGAGGTAAAACACATGCCGGCTGCTGTGGCATGTTTTGGCACCTTTAAGAAACAGAATCATGGAATCATTAACATTGGAAAAGACCTCTAAGTTCATCAAGTCCAATCATAACCCCGGCACTGCCATCTTCACCACTCAACCATGTCCCCAGATGCCACAATTAATGGAGATTAGAGGAACCGGAATACTTTAACAATATCCCCAATGTGCTAAACAGCACATCAGACCAAGACTATCAGAGCTCACATTAAATCCAAACTGCTCTACCCTTGTCAGTACTTCCAGAGAGTGACTAGGCCCCATAACCAAGAGGCTGTCTGTGTAGCCAGTTGCTCCTCCCTCACAATACTACTCTCCGTTGGGAATGGGCTCTTCCACCAGAACAACCCAAGTTGTTCCATCAGCTCTCTCCCTCTCCTGCAATCCCTTTCTTTAACAGCCCCTACATACAATTTTGTAATCCTTTTCCATACTGTCCAGATTCTGCTCCCATGTTCAAGCGTGCCCAAACACTGAGAGTTGATCCCAGACTGATCTCCATCTTTCCACGGTCCCTGGGCACATCTCCCTACTCTGAGTAATTCTGTACATCTCAGGGTCAGAGGTCGCCACTTCATTCCTCTACTCTGATTCCCAGATGAACACACACACACACATACACACATTCACACACATGCAGAGGCTGCTGCTTGGCCATTTGGCTGGGGTGTCTCCTGCCTGTTCACGGGATCAGAGGATTGCAGAATGGGCTGGGTTGGGAGTGACCTTTAAGATCATCTAGTTTCAAACCTCCATGCCACAGTAAGGGATACCATTCATTAGACCAGGCTGCTCAGGGCCCCATCTAACCTGGCCTGGAACACCTCCAGGGATAGAGCTGAAAAAAGCTCACAGGCTTCTGAATTCCTGATCGCTCCTCTTAGTATTTTTTCTATCAACTCATCAACAGGTGAGGACAAGAGAAAATGGCCTTAGATTGTGCATGGGTAGGTTCAGATTAGATATTAGAACAAATACTTTTCTCACTGAAAGAGTGGTTAGCCACTGGAATAAGTTGCCCTGGAAGGTGGGGGATTCACCATTTCTGAAAGTGGTGACCCTGTGGATGGGTCTGTGCCCCTGTGGATGGGTCTGTAGCCCTGTGAACCGATCTGTAGCCCCGAGGACGGGTCTGTACCCTATGGATCATCGGTATCCCTGTGGATGGGTCTGTTGCCCCTGGGCAGGGCAAGCCCCGGCTCGGCCCCGCGCGGCCCCTCCCGCAGCCGCCAGGTGGCGCCAGAGCGCCGCGGGAGCGGCGCCGGGGCGGCGGTCCCGGCACGGACACCTCTTGGTCCGGGAGGGAAGCGGGGACTTTGGTCACGGCGGGAGCCGTCCCGACCCCGGGATGCCACCGATAGCACTGCCAGAGTGAGGCTAAGAAGTTCAGGCGTTTGGAAACGCCCGCGCTCGAGAGGCTGGGCTCCGCAAGGCAGCGCCAGTGGTGGCGCCCGCCGAGGTCGCGGCCGTCAGGCGCTCACCGCCCTTCAGAAAACAGCCAATAAAACAAATAGCAGTAAGTTATTTATAAATAAATATCATTTTGAGGCACACCAGAGGCTGTTTGAGCGCTGTACGTGCTCAGTGAGCGGGGAGAGGCAGCAGCCCGGCAGCGCCCGGGCACGACTGCCCGGACCCGTCCTCAGCTTGATGCCCGACACCGACCCGCCCGCCCGGCCAGGACCGCGGAGAGGAGCAAAAGTGAGCTTAAAGACCAGCTTTTATGGCTAGGGCCGGGGCGAACACCCCTCCCGTGAGAATGGGGGCCGGAGCCCGAAGTGCATCGGGAAGAGTGTGGCGAGCGGGTCGAAGGAGGTGATCCTATCCCTCTGCTGGAGTGCCGTGTCCAGTCCTGGGCTCCTCAGTACAAGTGGCTACTGGAGAGGGTCCAGCGGACGACCACACGGATGATAAAGGGACTGGAGCATCTGTCTTGGGAGGAGAGACGGTGGGAGCTGGGCCTGTTTAGTCCAGAGAAGACTGAGAAGGGATCTCATTAATGCAGATAAGTATCTCAAAGGCAGGTGCCAAGAGGCAGATGCCAGGCAGGTGCCAAGATGCCAGACTCTTCTCGGTGGTGCCCATAACGAAGAGCAATGGCCATAAATCAAAACACAAAAAGTTTCACCTCAACATGAGGAAGAACTTCTTTACACTGAGGGTGGCAGAGTAGTGGAACAAGCTGCCCTGGGAGGGCGTGGAGTCTCTCTGGAGACATTCAAAACTTACCTGGATCCATTCCTGTGTCACCTGCTCCAGGTGACCCTGCCCTGGCAGCGGGGTTCGACTGGATGATCTCCAGAGGACCCTTCCAACCCTAACGATCGCGTGTGCTCCTGTGAGACGTTCCGGCGGACCCGGGAAAGAGGCGGTGGCGGGCGCTGGGGCCGCCCCTCTCCCGCCCACTGCGGCCCGCCCAGGGCCCGCCCGGGGCCGGCTCCGCAGCGGCGGCCGGAGCTGCAGCCGCCGCCCGCCCGTCGCAGCGCCGGCGCTGCCGCGGTGCCCGGCAGGGAAGATGGCGCCGTCCCACGTCCTCAAGTGCTGCCAGAGGGTGCTGGCTTGGGTGCCCGTGGCCTTCATCGCCCTGGTCGTGGCCTGGTCCTACTACGCCTACGTGGTGGAGCTGTGTGTGTGTGAGTGCACCGGGAGGGTGGCGGGCGCCGGGAGCTGCCGCCCGGCCGGGCAGGACCCTCCGCCGCCCGCCTCCTCCGCTGCGCCCCGGCGGGCTGGCTTCCTTCTGCGCCCGCCCCGGGCTCTCCTGCAAGGCGGGCGGGAGGAGACCCCTGCCTCGGGCGTTCCCTCCCTCCGGGGATGGGTTTACCTGTTGTCCTCCCGCCCTCAGGCGCCTCATGGCGGCGGGGTCCCGGCCCGGGGCCGCCTGTGGAGGAGCGAGGGACGGGAACGGGGGAGAGAAGGAGGCCCAGGCGGGGGGTCCGGGGCGCTTCCTCTGGGGACAGGCACCTCTCGAGGGCTCAGCCCCTGGTGTCTCCCCAGGAGGGGTTTCCCCTTTCTGTGTTGTTCATCCTTCTTTCTGATGTATCAAATAACTCCCTATGGGTGTATAGGAGTCGTCCTTCCCTCCCTCCCCTTCCCTCCTTTAATTAAGATACCCAGTGTCATTGAAGCGTAATGAGGTTGGAAACATCCAACTTAAGCGGGCTGGGGAGAGGATTTAGGGCTTATGGGGTTTTGTCAGGCTGTGCCCAGGCTTTCTGGACGAGGGCTTGTCCTTATATAAATCTGACTTGCAGCCGGTGTTGGTCAGGGTGATATTTACCCTTTACTGCCTTCGGGAGGAAACTTCAGTTCGGGAGGATGTTGGCTTTCTCTGGGCAGCGTATATGGAGTGGAACTGTGATGTGCGGTATTCATGAGACTTGGTAAAACTTGGAAGCAGCATAGGAAAACTAAGGAACATATTATTGAGCATTTGGCATGTTTAAGTAAGGAAGCTGAAATGAAAAAAAAAAAGAAAGTAAAACTATGAAGAACTATTTTAAGCTACAGATAGGTATGCATAGTATCTGTAAGTCCTTGTACTTGCTATTTATGTAAACTATGTGCTTTGATATTTCAAGCTAGAAATAAAAGATTTGCATATACTTTATACTTGGATAATTAGAAGTAATCAGTTGCTTTTCTTTTTCTGCAAGGAGTGTTTTTGATAACTTTTCTGAATGCTTATGTTATTTCACAGCCTTTTGGGTTTAAAGATGTGGACTGGAACATGAACGAACCACAGGCAAAAAGTTACTTGGACTTTAAATAGTAGAGATATAGTTGTAAAATAATGCTTGCTGAGATACTCTGAAATGTTGACAAGAGATAGTTGTAAATACGTCTGTGTATTCAAAAATCTTGCTTAAAACTATAAACACTTGGAACCAAGTTTAAGACAATCTTCAATACTGGAGGTATGGGTTGTTGTCGAAGTAGTCCTGAAAGGGGCTGTATTAGGTTATAGACTCACATTTTCCAGGTTTTCTGTACATTACAGTCTGATCAGCATGACAAAAGGCAGATTAGGGCTATTCATTTTTTCTCTTAAGCAAAGAACAAAACCAGAGAGATTAAGAGATTTGCCTAGGGTCGCACAGGTGGTCTCTGGCTGAACTGGGAGCAGAACCTCAAGCTCCTGAAGTCCTAGCTTTGTGTTTTGATCACAGAGTGGGTCAGGACCAGGTGCTGATGGATGATTTTTCCTTTGCAAGCATAGAGAAGCTGGAAGGAGCCCTTCTGAGTTCGTTAGAGTTTCATTTGTGTGAAAATTATTGAAAGGGTTGGCTCCTGTTCATGTGAGAACTTTTGCATCTATAAATCTAGTTTTTAGACATCTGGTGCTTTTTGCACACAAATCAGCTTTATTAACGTCTGCACATACAGATCATTAAGAAGAGGTATAATTTAATAAGAAATTACTTAATGGCTTCTGTCACTGTCACTGAATTTTACAGTTGTTACTTGTCTAAATCATACTTGATGACCTAGGATTTTATTTTTCTGTGAGTTTTTTCTGTTGTGAGTTTGGAGGTTTTTGTTGGTTTTTTGTTTGTTTTTAATCCATTGAATTTTATTTACGCTCTTGATAAAAAGTCGTGTCATCAAGGGAGAGGAAAGGTGGTTTGTGTTTTTGTGCAGTCTTTTTGGTGTTGTGGTTCTTTTTTTCCTTTGTGTGCTTTTCCACTGCAGTTGAGTTCAAGGTAGCATAAAGAGGATTTATAGTGGAATACGGGATTTTCTGTTTCTCTTGGCAAGTATGTTTACTTTCTCCCAGTGCTCCTTATCTTCTATTTGTTCTGAGAAGACTGCACTATGTACTATGAAGAAGAGCAAGGATGTGCCTTCAGCACACAGCTGATGAGTGAGGTGATGCTGGTCTCTGCAGATGGTCACACAGGGCGGGTGCAGAATGAACCAGGGCTTGTGGCTTTGGTAAAAGCTGATGTGTGCCTGCTAAAGAGAGATGGATAAAGGGAAGCTTTAGAAAAGAGAAGACACAATAGAAAATTTCAAGTAAATACTAAAAGAGAAATTGAAACCCCACAGACACCAGTGCTTCTTCAAAAGTTATACTTCAAGATTAGATAACTGTTAAGATGTGAGGCTAGCAAGGTAACAGGAAGAGAGAAGGCCTTTATTTCTTCAACTGTTTCTTCTTCCTGTTTTTTTTTCTTCCTTGTAGTCCTTGCTCATTTATTAAAGGTTAAGCATATACATGCAGTTAGTAAATCAAGTGGGAAGCCGAGCTTAATGTAGTGTCATAAAATATTCTTAATAAAGTAGAAGATGGTAAAGTTGATCCTGCTGCTTTGATCACATCCCCCTTTTCCCTTTCAGTTTTTCTTCTGTGCTGCTTGCCCCACCCTCCTCTGCTGGGATGCTCACATATTGCTCAATGTCTTTCTTTTGGTGTCTGATGGAATCAGTCTTACTCTGTAATTCACTGCCAGTATGTATTTACTTCGTTAGGACTCTTCTATAACCCTAAATTATATTACTTACATACTGGCTGTAAACTGGTATGGATAAGATGAAAGGAGACTCATGAGCTCGTCTGTTGTTTTCCTCCCTTGCAAACTGCCAGCATTGTTATATCTCTCTGAAGCTGTTGAATACTGGCTTATTTAGACCACTGTTGCTGTGTGGTTGTGATCCATCAGGTAAATAAGCTATTAAGCTAATTGGAAAGGTGAAAACAGCCAAATGTGTGTAAGTTGAGGAAATGTCAGCAGAGCGTAAAAATCTGTGAACATGTGTAACACTGAAGGAACTGCGAAAGGCTCAAGGCAGTATCTCATTCAGAGGTTTAAGTGCTTTGAAGTAGAAAAACATGAACACTTTTTTATTAGATTATTTCTTCTTTTCATGCATAACTTGCCCAGAGCTCTTGTTTGCAAGAAAGCACACCTAGCAGTACATAAAGGATGTTGTAAAATAGCTTTTTTGTTAGTTTAAAACTATTTCATGTGTTCTTTCTTGTCATCAAAACATGTTTTGCTTTTAACATCGCTTTTGTGAACAATGGCTATACTGTGCTGTTGTTGAATTGGACTGATTGTGTCTGCTTACCACATCTCTCAGATGCCCAGAGAGAGTGGAGCGCTTCTCTTGTGGTGTGTTTTCACTTAGGGCTGACTCGTATTTTATTATCTATCCCATCTATTGTTTTTGTAGGTGAGGGGCTCTAATACAGACTGGCTAGAGGGTGGTCAGAAAACATTGTTTTGACACACGGAGTCAGAGTTTGTGGGTGAAGCCAGCCTATTGCTTACCCTTTTGCTAAAACACTAGCAGACTATGGTAGTGCATTCTGCACTGAGAAAAAATTAAAATTAGCTTTGGCTGAATTGTATGCAGTTCTTAACTAAAGTGTATTGGCTGTTCAATTTTTTTTTTTTAAAAAAAAAGGTAATAACTAAGAATCTTCTTCAGGTTAGGTCTTTACTTCTGTAGTGAGAGCTATATTTTGTGAAGAACACAGTCTTTACTCTTCTCCTGGGGCAAGAGTTTTAAGGGCAGTGACTTGTTTTACCTATTTGCGAGGCTTGAGAATGTATGACTGTTTTCATGCATCAAGCTCTGCTAAGTATGGAAAAATGTGACTTTCAAAGCTATGGGAGTAACTAGTTGTGCATTCTTTTCATAGTATCTCGCTGCAGAAGTGTTTGCTTTTTCTTTGTTAATACAGGGTAATGTCTAATGTGTCTAAAATCCCAGCAAACAAAGCAGTTTGTAATTTAGAATGCGTAACTTCATGTTAATAGCTCAAATTATACTCCTTGCTGTTCCAGGAGACTGCAATAGCTCTTGTCATTAGGGAGACCGCTCTGATTTCCCCAAAGCACAATCCATATGAGAAGCACATGGTGATCTGTTGTAATGCTTCCATCTGAGGAGTCTGTTGCATAAACAGAGAGAAGGTAACTCCATCTGCCTCCTCCAGAAGAAATCTCTACTGAAAATGCTAATGCAGTATCTCCCAAGCAATGGCAAGGTGATACTAACAGCAGTGTCAGTAACTTCTGATTTCAAACTACAGAAAACACTGAAGTATCAGCACTGAAGTACAACATTTGCATGTAAAAAGCATTCCCGTAGGAAAAGAGGGTTACCTTTGCAAGAAAAGGAAAGCAAATTAAACAGGTTAGATCATTAGTTACATTTAACTATGTTTATGTGCCTCTCAGGAATTTAAAAATACGGACGTTGAACCACTCTGTGTACAGTTAGTGGTATTGCAGTGTCTTGATGTAAGCATGAATATTACCATCTTAAATGATAACCTTTTCTGTAACTATAAATAAGTAGAATTCCTGTTGAGATGCTCAGGCTGGATACAGATTATTGGAAAACTAAGTGCTCAGCTTGAGTAGAAATATTATCTTCTTGTATGGTCGTTGGCATTGTACTGGTCATTCTAGTTTATAGGAACAGGTAGGCATGTGCCTTTTGTATGGCATGAAATCTGCTCTCTTGCTAGTCTTCTAATGAAAAAATTGTTCCAAGTGCAACAGAACTAGTCAGCCTGGTTTCTTGAGTTGTCTTGTGTTGGCTCTTTCTTCTGCCATCAGAAGGACTCCATCCTTCTCTTTGCTCCCAGCCTTCTGTTTGCAGTGCCTGCCCCAGCCCTCTG